AACCCAACAAAGCAATGAAAATGATACAGGACTTCAAAACAAGATATAGGAAATTAGCAATGGCCACCACCTTCAGCAGAAGATCCCCATAGATGCTATATTGCATATTGTTATTCTCTGAATAGATGATCAGACCTGCAAAGCCAATGAAACACTAAACACCACAATTATCAAATTGTATTTTGCCTCAGTAGCTATCACTGCAGCCTGTGTTTCTGGTTGCTTACAACTGAAGTGGGGGGTGGGTGGGGTTTAGCTCTTCCAGTTTCCCAGTATGCTGGAAAGGGGCTGGCATCTGGCTTTCCCCTCAAAGCCCACACATAGTGCTGATTTTCAAGGACAGCTTGCTTCTTGGTGACTTCTTGTTCTCTTCCTCTGTAATCCATGAATGGCACTGACTCACAGGAAAAGGCTGGCATCTGTCTCTACCCCTACAGCCCGTGCATGGCACCAATTCACAGGGAGGGCTTGTTTCTTGGTGACTTCTTGATATTCTACTCTATATTAAGAGCATAAAAGTGTCTAAGGTGGTGTCTCAGGCCATATTCCCCCAGATGAAAGGTCCTTTAAAGTGATTTAGAGGGTGCCCCAAAGATTCTACAAACTTGCAGGAGCTTCCAAGAAGCAGACTATGGGGTCTTCAGTCAGTTGAGGAGAAAGTCCAAGGTGTACCAGGCTTTATTGGATGGAAGTTTGTGAGTCTGGCTTTTTGTCTAAATGAATTTAACCATAAGAAGCCTCACAGAGGGATCCACAGAGCTCTCAAAAGAGATAGATACAGATACCTTGTCATGTAGGTGAAGAGGAACAGAAGTAATATAGAGCAAAGACAGGACTTTGTATTCTAAGAATTTTAACTTTTGCTACATTAGACAAAAATGGAAAGAAGACTAAGAGAGAAGCTAAGAATTCAGAAGGCTGTGGGGAAGAGTGGGGAAACATGAAGAATTATTTGAAACACGAGCTCTAATCAGGAATCTTCCAACATTTCAAGACCTGGCTGTATTTTGGAATTACTATGAATCAGTAATCCTGTTGTCCTCTATTCTCATCCCCACTTCATACAGGACTGTGTGTATTGATTTTTCTCACGTGTGTCCCATTGTTTTACATTGGCAGAAAAGCATACAATTTTCCTTTGTTGTTTCACAGCTTACAAATTGGAAGGAACAGTGCTTGAGGAGTATACCTGGACTTGATCTAGGTGATGAAACTCTGAGCTGTAAACTGATACTTCAGTGATATAAGAATCTTCAGGACTTTTGGGGCAGAGTGTATATTTTACATTTGAGAGAGTGTTAAATGTTTGATAGTGGTGGAAAGCCTCTGACAAATTTCCTAATGATCCTCATCTCCTGAAATTCATACTTTTGGTATTTTTTCCCTGTTGAGAGTGAGTGAACTCACTGCCTCATATTTAGCACACAAGTACAGCGAGATGGAAGGTCTCTGCTTCTGTTTAACTGTGCTTCCTCAGCTTCTTCTCTTCTGAGAAGAAGACCCTTTTCTATTCTCTTTTGGTGGTTTGCCCCAGAGAAAGATGGTTGCTTATCAGAAGGCAGCCTTGTGGCAGGTGCTGTAGTATAAATCTTTAAAGTCAACTTCCTGAGGCCTGGGGAGAGTTGTATGAATCAAGTTGAAGAAGATCTCCTGCAAGAAAATCTTAGGTAATTGCAGCCCCATTCGAAATCTTGAATACAGGTCACAAGAAAATGTGAGACCAAGCTACTAACTTCAGGTGTTCCTACGAATATTACTGAAAAACAAATGCTTTTAAAGTTTGAGAGGATATATCATGCAGAAGCAGAGAAAATATATTAATGTTCTAGAAGGGTATATTGTATTCTAATGTTCTAATTGTTATTATGCAACATTTTATGAAGAAAGAATTCATTCTGTTAAATACAATGACATTCCCAAGGACTCTTTAGATACCATTTATAAGACACCAACCTAAAGTATGTCTCCTATTTTTTCACTGACTGAACTGATCTTTTGATTAACACCATTAGTTACAGGATGATAGCTGAAAAGGTCATGAGGTCATAGTGTGTCCTTGTGTTCTTGGAATTTTCCCAGTTTAGAATGCTCAAAGATGGGCTAGACTCATATATAACAGTAACTAACCTTTACAGCAAGCTTTATATGTGCCAGGAATGCTGAAAATTGCTTCACATAATCATTACAGACAATTATCATACCACCTTTTTGAATAGGGATCATCATCATTCCTACTTTAGTGAGAGCTGGCAGTAAACAGTACCTTGGTAAAAAGTAGATCTGAAATTTGAGTCCAGGGTTGCCTATTAACTTGAAATACTCAAACACCTCACCCTTCTAGGCAAAGATCTGTGCCATTTTGTATAAATAGAATGATAAATTGCAGTGAGTGAATTCCCTTTATGTGTCAATATATAAGAACAGATCCAGAGCCAGGATGGTGGTACACTTCTATTATCCAGATACCATGACAGCTGAGGCAGGAAGACACTATATTCAAACTCAGGATGGGAAATTTAGTAAGATTTTGTCTCAAACTTTTAAAAGGTAGCTGAGAGGTGGGGTTGGGGATGTAGCTCAGTGTGAAGGTCTTGGGTTTAATCTATTGTGCTGTAAAATAGCGATAATAATAAAAAGCCCAGGAAAAGCCTTTTCTATACATCCATGCATGCAACTAGAGGTTTTTAATCCAGAGTCCCCTTTGCCAAATCTGAGTCCATTATACTTTTGAAGATATGAATACCCAAATTTAAATGAATCCTGTCACTGGGTTTTTACCTCTACTCCAAAGAAAATTTGGTTATCTTAAATGCTGTTTCAAATGTGAGAGACATTTGAATTGGTCAGTTTTGTTGATTTCCAGACTCAGAAATACATGATCATAAGGGATAAATCAGAGGATTTACAGAGACATTACTTTGAGAGGAACAAAACTCTCTGGTGATACTTAAAACTAAGACTATTGCAATGTTTCTCGCCAAGGGAAAGAGACATGGCATGTATGGTAAACTGTTGTATGCTACAGCACTTACTGGGTAGATAGATACCTTATGCATCTGGATTCCTTCTGACAAAAGACATCGATGTATTTACACTTAAAAACAATTGAAATTACCTGACATTAGCGATGCCTTTGTTTGCTTTAGTCAATCACGTTTTTCTCAGAACTTGATATTACTATTTGCTAAAACTAGAGTTTTGATTAAGTTTCTTCACTATTTGTTTTCTTATTAATTTTCCAAGACTTAATTTCTTTCAAATTTAATTCTTCATTCACCGATTTTAAGTTTAGTATAATTTAAAAAATAATAATTGTTGGAAAATACATTCCAAGAATTTTCAATTCATCTTTCACATACCCAGACTATACATTCTGTCACAGGGTGATGGGCAGGACAAAGTTTATCCAATCATACCAGAGTTTTTAGGTCATTTCCAGGTTTCTTTTCAGATTTTCACATGAAAAGGAAATTGGCTGGAAAAACACCAGAAAAGCTTTTTTTCTTTCCTTCCTCTTTCAACTACTCAACTGCCAACTGCCAATTCTTTCTGCATTCTTTATCTGATGTTCACAAGTTACAGGGAAATTGGGGCTGTTTTTGGACTTGGCAATAGTTAAATGGAATTACAGAGAGTGACTCAAACTGACATGCATTTTGTAGAGTCTTGATTATGCACAGCTTTTTTCTGAGACACAAACTTCTTGAAGGATTAGCTTGCTAGAGAGAATTACCATTTTGGAAGATTTGTGCCACATTTGAATGATAAAATTGTTCAGAAAAAAGTGCTTCTCTGTAAATATTCTTTAAATTCTTGCAAACATCTGAGCACTTGGAGGCCAGAATCAGGACACAGTTTGCATAAATTAAACACACAAAACACACACACACACACACATGATCATCCAAAGACTTCTCAGATGTGCTCTGATCCTTTGTGGAAAATCACATCAAGGTAAATGTTCTATGTCCTCACAAAGCCTCTGAAATAGACCATGAATACACTACTGTAGCCGCGTACGTCTGCTACTATATTAAAGTGACAGCTGATTTAATTTGGTTAGGATCCAAGTAGATTTCATATAATATATATATATATATATATATATATATATATATATATATATAGAGAGAGAGAGAGAGAGAGAGAGAGAGAGACAGAGACAGAGACAGAGACAGAGACAGAGAGAGAGAGAATACTATTCAACAGACTACTATGTCTCATAGTTTATTTTTATGTAGCACCTTAAGTGACTTACACTATATATTATAAACTACTTACTCTAGGACAGCTCTTAAGATAGATTTAAATACTTCTTTTTCCCCCAAAGTGGGATTTTGTATATTTCTATGATGATAACCATCTCAGTAAAATCCTTGAGATTATATTTAATATTTTTCATAATATATCTGATCTGTTAGTTGGAATTTTTGATTGTTTTATATATCTATTTTATCAGAATTTCATTCACTAGTGTTGATATGTAATTTAGATAAAATTTTGTGAACTGATAAATATTTCAATAGAAATAGCACAGTTGAGTGACTTCCCATAGTTTGCTGTGATAGATCCTATAACCAAGCAGAAAATATATTTCAAATGCTAATTTCCCTGTGATGATGGAGTCCATTTCAAGTAAAAAATCTGACTCCAGAAACTCAGTTATTGGCATATGGTCCAATTGTTGTCTCTGAAACCACATGGTGGGGGAAGACTTAAGCAGATAGATAGTAGGTAGAGGAGGGGCAGAGGAAATCATCTTGGCATCAGTCCTTTTCTAAGGTCTCCTTAGGCCAGGCTTCCACCTTTCTCATCTCACTGTGAATGGAGAGGGTTTGGAGGGGTCAGCTGCAGTGGATGGAATGCCTTATGACAGGCAAATTTCAGAAAACATGCTTATGTGAAAAGGAGTGCGTGCTCGTGTGGCTGGGAGGAAGCCAGCCGAGGCCGAGAAAGGGAGTAGGGGAAGAGAGCTCAGATATTCCTGGAAATAATTGCTTTCATGTCACCTCATAAAAGGCATCTCCTTTAAATCAGGCAGGCATCATGAGTGCTGTGACACCCCACAGACTGCCCTTTATCCTGGAGGTGACCCATGACCACTCACTGAAACACTCTGTCACCGGGGTGCGTTAGGGCCATTCATTTTCCGTGACCCTCTTGACAATGTGACTGGGATTTCCTGAAACCATGCACAAGTCCCTGCCCATGAGTTCTTACACTGGCAGCCTCAATCCTACCCTTTCAAAGGTTATCATGTTGTGTGTGCATGTGCGTGTGTGTGTGCCCTTGCATGCACATGTGCATGTATTTCTCAGCAAGCAAAGAAGCAAATGAAGTAAAAACAAAGCTTGGCTATTTGGAAACACTCCTTATCAACATAGTACTGATTAGCTAAAATTTAATCTTAAAAATGCAAGAACATGCCAGATTTAAAGTTTAATGCGTAAGATGTAAGAAATTTTAGAAAAGCAATTTAAAAATGATCTCCCCATTCCAAATTCATGTCTCACATCATGAAAGGTAAACTTGAACAGAGTAATTGCCACAAAGGTGCTGGCTGCTTTCAAATAACAGTCGTCCCTTTGATAATACGGACACCTATCTCCTTTCACAATCCAGCGCTTCTCCTGCACTTTGTAACAACATATTCCATCTGTTTTTTAGGGCCACTGTCATCACGATGCCTGGAAGAGTGAAGAAAGGCCTGATTGATCACAAGGTCCTATCAAATGTCAAAGCTGGCCCTGGGTGACCTCCCATCTATTCAGAGCTGCTTTGATTTAATCTCCAAACTGGCTGCTTCTCCAGGCTGTGAGTTCTATCTGCAACCCATGTGTCAGCATTGAGATATGACCTGCTTCACGCTCCATTCATCTCATTTGAAGGACGGAAATTAAACTCAAGGGTCGAAGAGGGGAACTGCTCAAAATACACACACATTAACTGAAGCCTTTTGTGTAGGTGCATTATAGGAGTTTGAAAAACCATTAAATATTATATTAAAATGAAATTCATCATTACTCTACTGAAATGCTTTAGAGCTTTTCCTCCCTCAAAGGCTCTCCATTCATGCTTCTTTCTTCTCCTTTCTGTTTGTCGTAATCATATGTACCTGATCTCATTAGTGTTCAGTGGAGAAGAGGAGGAAAAACTTACAATTTTTCAGTTTCTGTAAAAATGGTGCCCTTTAGAAAATTCATGTGTTGTCTATAATTTGCATAGGCAACTTAAAAAGAAGGCAGATAAGAAAAGCTGATAATCATGGTAATAGAAATGTAGCCTGGTTAAAGGGATCAATATTCATTTACATTTCACTTTTTAAAGTTTTTTTTTAAATTCAATTAAAACTTAACTTCAGGAATAGTCTTTTGACTAATAGGACATCTTGAAACAGTGTATATCTGTATATTTCTGGGTCTACTTTTATTTAATATTACTTAATTTTTTTCGGTGCTTAATCGCAACCAGGGTCTCAGGCATGCTCAGTGAGTGGCCACATTGAGCTATGTGCTCCAGCCCAAGGGTTTGCTCTTTATTTACAAATTCTCCTTGCTTTTTTCATTGGCCTCTTTATACTATTAATCATGGCTAGTAACTAAATGACAGCTTCACTCCAGTCAAGTTTAAAAAATAAAAACTCTGTTTTTCACTTCAGGGGCCCCAGTATTATGAGACTGAGATGACACTATTTCAGTTGTAATGGTAAGATTACCTATTTTTATTTATTCACTTGATTATGCATTCAGGTTATTATTTGAAATCTGGCATTGATGACATCTATGTAGGGAAAATCTTTTTATGTAATTAAAATGTACATGGTGTATTTTGTGTTATGGTAGTACATATTCAGTTTGAAAAAATAAACAGCATAGACAGGGGAAAAAAGAGAATATTAATATAATAGACACCAAAATTATTATTAAGCAGACATATTCAACATTAATACTTCAATTAGTGCTTATTTTTCCATTTTATGTGCAGACATTTTATTTCCTCTCTTTAAAATCACAATAGTCTTGCTTAGAAGACTACTTTTCAGTGGTTATGATGCTCTTCTTTCGTGTCTAAGTAACATCACCTCATATCGAGATGATAATTTTATTTTACTAATACTATATTGATGGTCATGTAGATTTGTAACATCCTTTACTATTGTAAATGTCATTATATTTGCTTTATTTTCTTCAAAATTCTCAAATTTTGTAAAAAGATGTTTTAAATGTAATACTGTAGTCAAAGCTAACATCTTTTATAGTCTTTCACTTGACTATTCTTTTGGGAATAACTTTCCTTCCTAAATAATCATTTGCTTTTCCTTTAATATTCATTGTTTGTTTATTGTATATATAACATGTGCAGTAGAATAACTAACATACTGAATATTAATGCTGTTTCTTCATAAATCATCTCATGGGACTTATGTTAAAACTATGCTCATACGGAGAGAAACGTGAGCATCTGAAGCATTCAAAGAATGCCTTTTAACAACATAGTTTTGCAAGGAAGCAGAAGAACATATGATTACTTCTCTCACACTGCCTCTCAGTAAAATCCCTCTTCCCGTACCTCCCTATGGAAATATCTTATTACTCAAAGCAGAGGATGTTGGTGAAATGCATTTTGTGAGTTAATTCATTTTTTACAGTGCCAGGTGGGAAGTGGGCTTATTGTGTTAATGTAGCATTCTGAATAGAACTTTCTGCAATGATATAAATGTTCTGTATGTGGATTGTTGAGCATGGAAACCACTGGCTACTTGTGGATATTGAAGATGTGTAAATGTGACTATGTGAGCGAGCAACTCAATAATTAATTTTATGTAATTATATTTAAACCAATTAACCTCATGCACCTAGTGGTTATCATATTAAATAACATATTGAATGGTTTCACTACTAACAAGTGTTTTAATAGTTTGTGAGGCACCTTTTACCAGTTATTCTTTCATTTCATTGAAGAATAAATATTAGATGATATTAAAATCTTGGACTATAATTAATCAAAAGAAAGATATGAAAAAAACTACTTGTGCACAGAGAGATGTTTTTCATACTTTCAGAAAAGACTGAAAATTTCAATAAGTAAAAGATGATAAAAGTATCTTCATGGGCTTATTTGTTAAAATAGTTTGATGGAGGAAGATGATCTGATGTCTAAGATTTGGTCTTGACTCTAAATACATACTGACCTGTTGAAGTAACTTACTTCACTTTTTCTGGTTTTGTCACTTAGTATTCATGGTAAAGGGTTTGGAACAGATGAATTTCTTTGTTCTTATCATAAATATTATAAAATTTTTCCTATTCAAAATCAACTACTTCTTTCCTCTTACCTTATTGTTTACAAACATCCAGTGACAAATATCTTTTAATTGTTCAATATTTCTTGAATGTATAGATATGCCATAATTACGTGTCTCACTGAATTAACTCCTTTAACCATCCATTCTTATAGCCTGATAATTTTACATCTAGTGGTGCAAGATTTTTAAATGCAGATGCTTTTGATGCGGGAGAAATCCTTTGGTACAATGAGACAGGATAACTGGGCACTTCCTCCTCTTGAACTGTGAAATGGGTCTACTTCCTTAGATAGCTAGTGTACTCCAGCTTTTGCCTGAGTACCATAAAAGTAAGAAAATAGAAGAGGTAGAATTTCAGCACACTCATCAGGTCAGATTTTCATCTCAGAAACATCAGGTATTTAATAGTTCCAGTGGATAATAGTGAGATTTTAATGTGGTGATATGTTTTAAACCACCTAAATTGTTAGCTTGAACAAGAACAGCGACACTACATTTTTTTCCTGACACATAGTTCTATGTCACAAACAATGTAAGATGCTCACACATATGGGAAAATATTGTCCAAAGAGAAATGCATTATACAAGCATTAGTTGTTGTGATTAAAAGTGATATTTTAGTTACTCATGTTTTGGAATATATTCTCCTGTTGGAATGAATAGTCACTTAACATTTTCTGTGCTCATTCACTATGAGCTCATTCCTCCTTTGCTAGGACTTAACCCTACAAGAAGAGTTGAAGGAAAACTCATTATATTCTTCACTCAGAAGAGATGATATTAAAAAATTAATGACCATTTCAGTCCTCTGGGTTGTCACATAATCTGTGGGAGGGGAGGAAGTCTGTTACTGTCTTTTTCAAGGGCAATTCACAACATTTGGCAGGATTAATTCCTGGGGTTTCAACTGCTTCTTCTCATTGGAGAATGTAAGTGCTGACAGTGGCTCCTTTTTAAAAAAGTAGCTATATTTTAGTTTAAATTAGTGTATCTGTTTTGAGGAAAAGGAAGCAGTGCATAACAGGAGCTATACAAATATCTGTATCTTTTATTCTCATGAATTTAACAACCAAAGTGTATCTTAAGAAAATACCTCAATAGAAACCAAAGGCTTATGGAATGAGCATCTGTCTGTGTCACTTTCCTTGCTCTTGGGATGAAACACTTGACATCCACAAGTTAGAAGAGGAATGGTTCATTTGGGCTGGCAGTCCAACATCAGCAGGCACCAAGGCAGGAAGGACTTAATCAAAGGGTCTGATGGAGGAAAGTTGCTGTGAAGCGCGGGAAGGGAGAAGCTGAAAAAAGAGATGCACCCTTCCAGGTCACATCCCAAGGAACCTACCTCTTTTGACCAGATCCTACCTCTTAGCAGCACATATGATTCTGAAGTAAGTGGACTAATTTCCTGATCCGTAGAGCACCCCCATGATTCATTCACCCACAAAAGCCCAACTTCTACATATGAGACTGTTGGATAACATGTTAAATCTAAACAACAATGTCTTTTTGAGTGATAAATTGTGATCAAAAGAACTTGGAGAATGTTAGCTGTGCAATATTTTTAAAAATGCTTGAAGTTACTGTGCCAACAAGGAAATACATTGGAAAGATTTTTAACACTTAGAATTTTTGAGCTTATCCATATATATGGAAAATGTTTTTACCATATTGTCAATTAAGCAAGAAAAGCTGAGTGCAATGTTTGTACTCAACTGTGTGCAATATTCATATGGATGTGGATCATAACATGCCCCAAGTGGGAAGGGTTTCTTTGGTGGGTAAAGGGTTTGCAGTGAGTAAAGAATGTGAACCCAGGGGTTCCGGTAAAGATGGTGGATAGATAACAACAGGCTACAGAGGCTCCGTGAAATAGTTAATTTAGATTCCAAAAATAATACAGTGTGGGGAGTCCCAAACAGAGGGAGATGGTCCCACCCAACCTAGGAACAAACTAAGCTGAGAGAATCCAATTAAACACACAGTCCCAGTGCTAGTATTACAACAGCTAAAGGCTCGGTGCTCCCACTGCGGAGTGGGAACTCACACAGCCAAGACTTACCAAGCTACCAAAAGCCCACTGCAGCTTCAACTCACTGGAGATGCACTCACACTGAGTCAGGGGTTGGCAAGCTGAATGGAGATGGCAGGGAACCTGCATTGACATGCGGTCAGTGACAGGAATAAAACCAGTCCACAGAAAGAAGGGTTCCAACAGACAACATTCTGGGGTTGGCAGACTGGTGAGAACAAGGAGCAGCAGTGACTTCATTCAGCTGCTCCCTTTTCAAGTGGGATTGGTGGGGTGTGCTTGGCCTACGTCATGCCCCAGGCTGAGACCCAATAGGCTAGCCCAAACCAAGTCCCTACGCCTGGCAGTGCACCCTAATGCAGTGAATCCCTCAGCAGGTTGACTGACCCAGAGGGGAGGACACAGCATACACTGCCCCTGTTTGTACCTCTGTACTACAGTGCAGTGGGCAGGAGCACCTAGTCAGCATGCTTAAGACAAACTGTAACCAACAAAGAAAGAAACACCTGTGTGAAAGGAACAAAAAATATGAGAAGAGGAAGCAACAAGAAAGGGCTGCCAACCCCCAACCCTGAGAACATTGATTCAGGAAAGGTAAATGCAAAGGAGATTGAGGATAGCAAACAAGCAATATCAGACACGGCATCAGTGGGCATAAAGTGATATCTTTGGGACCTTATAGACGAGTTCAAAAGTGAAATATTTAACCAAGTAAATCAAGATATAAATATAATAATAAAAGAAATGCTAAACACCTCTCAAGAAGATACATATGGAAGAATGGAGGAACAAAAAAAAAGGGGGGAGAACCATTCAATGGAGAATATAAAGAAAACATAGAATACATGAAGCAGGTTCAAAGAGATTAGCAGGAAATTAAAAACTCCATTGAAAGCTGGCAAAACTGCTTGAAAGAGACTAAGGATAGATTATCCAAACTGGAAGACAAGTTTGCAATGTGGTATTATGAAAGGAAAAAAATTCTTAAAAATAACAAGGAAAGAAGCAGTAACAATACAAAGGCTAGAAGACGACAAGAGGATCTATAACTTAAGAATAAAGAATATGAATGAAGAAGCTGGGGTACAAACAAAGGGAACTACAAAGGATATTCACAGAAATAATCAAGGAAAATCTCCCAAACATAGGAAAAGGAAATGATATGCAGATGTATGAGGCATACAGAACTCCAGCCAGCTACAACCAAAACAGAGCTACATCCAGGCATATAATTATCAAGATCCCAGAAATCCAATATAAGAACAGACTATTAAAAGCAGTCAGAGACAAGAAACAGATTACTTACAAAGGAAAGCCCATCAGAATTACAGCAGACTTCTCGGCATAAACCATCAAATCAAGAAGAGGATGGAGTGAAGTATTCTAAGCTCTGAAAGGAAATAACTTCCAGCCCAAATTGATGTATCCTGAAAAATTGTCTCTAGAAATTAATGGAGAAATAAGATGCTTCCAAGATAAAGAGGAACTGGGGGAATTCGTAACCATAAATCCAACTCTACAGAGAATGCTGCAGGACATTCTAAAGAGAGAGAAAAGTACCAGGATTTCAGGAACAGTACATAGCAGCCTCAATGAATGGAGCAGAAAGCGAAAATAAGAAAACAAACAAGCAACTAATGATGGAAAAAGAGCTCAACAGGAATGAGGCAGAGAAGGTTGGATATAATTTCCAATATAGATGGTCTAGATACACTAAATTAAGGTGAAAAAAAAAAGAGAGAATCTCAGGCAGTGGATCAAGAGGTAGGATCCTCCAAGATGCTCTTTATAGGAAATATAATTAACCTGAAGAAGGGTATATGGACTGAAAATCAAATATGAGAAAACGGTACTCTATGTGACAGGGAACCAGAGAATAATAGCAACAAATGGACCAGTATTTATGGATAGGTTGGAAAGACAGGCTTTAACAGGTAAAGAAATACAACTAGAGATCAAGTCCAGGAGTGAGAAGGTTCAGAACCACTTAGGTAAACAGTAGGTTTCCCCCCAATATAAAACTGAGGGTGTTGGGGGGACCCAAAAATGCACATTACACCATGGGGGAGTGAAAGGGGAGGAATAATCTTTAAAAAGACAGCAAAAGATATTGCTAATAGTGTATCAGGAATTAAAGGCCATATTACTCATACCGCTCTGCTTAGACAGAACTTATTCTATACCAGTTTGTATACAACCACTAGATCTGAGGGCACAGACAGCTATCCCCCATCAGAATATAGCACAGTAATCATCTTTAATTTCCTATTAATCTGGAGCCCTGTATAACTTATACTGTTATATCATGACTGATCTTAGCTAAACCTGATTTGTTTGATTGCTGTTTATTATTGACAGATTTTATTCAAAACTATTAAAGTTGATAGTATCAAGTCTGAGAGTAAACACAAAATGCCAATGATTCACTATGATACCCATCCTGGTTTGATTACTACCTGTTTTTGTAATTCTACACTATCTACAAAATTGTATTTTTATTAATACTGTTATGTACTGATATATTCAATTATCTGATGATATAGCCAATTCTATTGATGATAACAAGAGACAACACAGTAACCATGATAGAACTCCTTGTACAGCAGTTTTATATGTCCTTTTAGATTTATGTGTCTATAGGAATATGTTTTGTTCTGTCCTGCTTTGTTCTGTTTCTCCCTCTAATATAGAAAGGATAGAAATACATGTTAAGACTCATACTTGTGTAAAACCTATAAACAGTTTACGAGAGCTGATCTTATGACACATGATGAAATGAAAATATACTTTGAAGGAAAAAAAGGCACTATAGGACCCAAAGCTGATTCCGGAGTGTCATGATGTGAAATTCAGCACTAGTGTTATTCTTTGTTTAGAGTGATTGTAGTCTGCTCTGGTGTGTTTAATCTCAACATAAACAAAGATATGGATAAATGCATGCATGTTTAAGAGTATAAGATTGATAACCATATTACTAAGTTCTTATTAGATAGTTGAACAGAATTATTTGCAGTCTTGCTGTTTGAATTCCATTTATATGTTCCACTTTTGTATCTTGAACAACTATTTGTAAGAGGACAATATGTAAACATCAACAAGTGATTTATTACTGTTTTTTTTTCTTTGAAAGTATGTATTACTTCTACCTGGGTTCTGTTTTGTTTTGTCTTTCTTTAAATAAGATTTTTTTTTTTAAAAAAGCAAAGCTAATATTACTGTTGGGTTTACATTCCAACTCTTCCATTAGCTGTGGCAGATTATGAATCCTTTGCATATCTATTTTCTTATCAGGTAATTTTTTTCTTATGAGAGGTTAAAAAAAAAACAATGCCACTAAAAAAGAGTTTAGGACACAGTAGAAATTCAATAACATTTTTCCCATTGCTAAATACTCTCAAGGATTGAGAAAATTTGCTCAATTTGCTTGATCTTTATAGGAATTTTAATGTTTTTATTTTTTACTTACATAGGAATTTTTAGCAGATGACTAGAAATTAAAGAACAATGATAATTTTCCCATAACTGCAAAATAACCTTTACATTTGAATATACTTCAGAAGGATGTTAATATCCTGGGATGAAGATCAGGCCAATTTCAATATGAAGTTGAAACTGTAGAGCCATGAAGAGTATATTAACCAATGTTGATGATGAGCTACAGTATGTTAAGATTATGCTCTGTTAACATTCTGGGAGTTCCTCACCATGAATCTGAGGATGGAATGTCTCTCATATATAAAAAAATTAATTCCAAGATGGCTAGAAACTTACTACATAGTATATATTAGTATATAAAATATATTGATAAGTGAAAAAAGAATTGTGACTTTTGCCACTTGGTAGAGGGATTTGAGAGAACAAGGAGAAGATTAAACAAAAGATTAAAATTCTTTATCAAGTAAGGCTATATCTGGCATGCTTAATTACAAAAGGAAATTTAAAACGAGTGCATATGCATTGCTGCATGTATTAATGTAGAATTTAATTGGTTTGGAGTAAATTAATGTTTACTTGCATATTCCTGGCAATTTGTTATAAGCTGTGTAATTTTAAATTGGTTTCTTGAAAATGCTGAATAAAACACTGCAATTCACACATTGCTTTAGGAATTGATTTGGGGATAATAAAATATAATGAAATGTTTTAGCTTAGATAGATCTAAGTCCTAGTCGCTCTGTAATTTTTTAAACATGAGTACAAATAATGACACTGCTGTAATATTTAGAAGAGCTGTAACCGTTAGTCACATGTCCTTTCTTTCATTGGGTAAGCTATACTTTTTCAAAATTTTATTTTCTTGAAGCAGCAGGATATAAGGCAAATCCTCTGGGGCTTTCACTTTTTTGCCTGAGAAAAAATTATGTGTGAAATTGAAATACAAGAAGATATAAAGATCTCACAACTCAGCAAATAAAGATTATGAAAAAGCCTCAGAATCAAGAAACTTGCATTTGGGCCACTATTATCTTTAGATTAGTCTATTATTTTTAGATTAGTGAATACAAATTTCCTGTTCTGACAATGAGTACAGAGAAAGATTCAAAACAAAAAGATCTGGACATAGAAAGCCACTCAAAGAATGTGCTGTGAAAACGAGGATGGTATTAGACTTACTGTTCTCTTCTTGCTAGCTGCGTGTTCATTTCCTCTTGAATTTCTTTTGTTTTCAGCCAAGACTTTTGGCTTCATAAATATGGCCATCCATAATTTCTTCACTTTCCTTTTGAAATCTTCCTTTGCCATCAGTTTCTTTTGTTTGTAGCTTACAAGGTAATAATAAAACTTCAAAAAGTTCTCCCATTTTCCTCCTGAATTGCCTATCTTTTACTGATGGCAAAGCCAAATTTTTTCCACTAAATTCTGTTTTCCATTTTTGTATTTGTCATACACTTTTGTTTGTTTGGTTTTGGTACAGGAATCAAATTCAGGTCTTTTAGCTTGCCAGGCAGGCACTTATGCCTCTGAGCTGTATCCCAAGCCCCTATAAATCCTTTTAGTAAGTATTCCACCAGTTAATTCTTTTCCCAACCTGAAAAGCTTGTTCTCAGGAAACTGTTTCCTGATTCTGTTTCTGTTAGTTTTCATTAGGGCCTGCATATCTATTATCAAGTTAAGTTCATTGTATACTGCAACTTTTCACATACACATTTTATTCTCTGATTAACCTCTGAGTCCTTGAAATAAGAACTGTATTATTTTGTCGCTTAAGTACCTTCACAGCACAAAGTAGGTACACATATGTGCTAATGTAAATAAAATTAAGTTATAATGAGTACATATTAGTTTAAATATGATGAAACAAAATACATTTTAATAAGCATAGATTTCCAAGAGTAGACTTTGTCCTCTGAGAGAAAAGATTTCTTCTTGGGATGTTTGGGGCACTAATAAGAAGACAGGATCAGTCTTAATTTTGTTTTTAATTAGAGAAACCATTTGGCACATCTGAAGTAACCGTATAAAAGCTCCTTCCTCTCTGCTTCCAATTTATAGGTTCATGGTAGCTTTGCTTCAGCTCTCACTTCCCTGGAGTTTCATTCTTGGTTAATACATAGCTGGCAATTTAAAGATATTTGGCAGTCACGGTAGATGGAAATGTGGAACCATCTTGTATGGATTTTTTATTTGCATTTACTTACACTTCCCCCCTGCCCTCCCTGCCTCCTTCTCTCCTTTATGTTTCAGTACAGAGCATTTATTCTTTTTCTTAAGTCTACTCTGTCTTCCTCACTGCCATTTTTTCAAAGAGGGCAGGGAAAGTAATGTTAACATAATTTCATTTTTAAGAAACTGAAGTTCAGAAATTGGGACTGGAGTTCACTGACGGAAAACTCAGAGTTCTTATCACTAGTTTCCATTCTCCAAATTCGGTATTTTTCCACCATATAAAATTGTACACGGCATGTTATAATCTTGGTATATTTTCTCAGTGGTTACATTACAGGATTGGAGGAATTACCGGCTACTGAATTCTCTGGTAATCCTATTGCTCTTAACATCTGAATCTTGTTTATTACAACAAATTCTTGAGTTCTGTTATTCTTAGAATTCAGTAAGTTTCAGCATGTTTACTGATGAGCCTTAACTCAGTCTTACAACACAGAGACCATTAAAAGATTTGTACAACGAGTACAACTAAATTTACTTTACTTGGGTGTGGAATATCTAACAGTAGCAAAGAAACAGAAATACTAAAAGACATAAACCACAGCAAAGATGGCACCAAAGTCCAATGTCTCTGCTTTTCTGGAATCAATCTCTTTTCAAAGGTGAGCATACCCCTTCTTCTGTCACAGTCAGGAAGTCGAAGTGGATTTTCATATGTGTTGTGCAAGTTAGATCAAAAGGTGGCCTATTTGCAGGGGTGGATCACAGCTGGAAAGATGGTACCTTAGCGCCTGTATTTGGTCCTTGGCATCTTGTTTTTTGTTTTTTATTCTATTTTATTATTTTATTTTTCTTGCCAATGGAAAGATCACTAACACAGATACTTCCATCAAGCACTTCTCTGGTGTAAAGTGATTTTTAAAAGCCTAGCTAGTTTACCAATAACCAATTTCTTGGGTACTTACCACCCATAAACTTGTTTGTTGGATCACATTTTAAGCCTGATGATTTCACTTCCTAGTAATATCCTTACTCATTGTTTGTTTTAAACCTGTCCCATCTGCCTCATTTTGGAGGGCAATTCCTTGGTAGTTTCCGATTCCTCTTTTTCAGAGTATGTGGCATTGGCCCCCTTTGTCCTGTCCTAAGGCTGCGTCCCTCTCTGCTACTTAGATATCTTTTGCTTCTAGGCTAGTTTGTAGGACAGTGTACATTCAGAACTGAGGAATGGCTGGGATCGAAATGTCATTTGGCACTGATATTCTTTGTCTTTTTAAAAAATTATGTAGATATTAATAAAATATAAAAAACATACTTCGTCTATAAAAAACTAAACTAAAATTTCATAACAAAACAGAGAATAACAACTAATATACTGTATACAATAAACTTAAAAGAATGGCCAAAATGCTACTCAGAGTAAAAATCATAGACAAAAGGGTGATTTTTTTTCTTATACTTATTTCTTTCTACTCTTCTCATACTGCAGAGCTGATTTCTTGTTGTTGTTTCTTTATAGCTGTTATGACAGAAAGTGATTTCTGAATTCATTTCTGAAGAATTCATCACTTGTCAAGAGTCTATCCAAACTAAGCAGATGCTACCAGCCTGATTGCAAATGCTCAGACTGCAGTGATTTGCTCAACCTAGGTCAGGGTGCATGAACTGTAATTAGGAGATGGGTTTCACATTATCCCATCGAGGAAACCCCATACTAAGTGTATAGATTTGGACGGTTGGAGAATAATGAGTAGTTTCCAGAAAAAGATTGTGTTGTTCCCAGGGGACACTCTGTGCCCTCTACAATAGCCCTCTGTGGCACTTTTTTCTAAACTGCTTGCTACGTGATTTTTCTCAAGAATCACAAGCCTCTCCAGTCTGTGCTAAAAATGACCAAAACTCCTGTGGCTTGATTTTATTTGGCTTTAAATCTCTGCTAGAAGAGCTTTTTAACATTTATTTTATTTTGACTTTTGAAAGTGAAAAAAAAATTTTTTTTGTGCCTTCAGCTCTCATAATTAGCCCAAGAACATAGCATTCCTTTCTCTTGCTACATAGAAAAACAAAACTCAGTTTACCAGCTGTCACTTTCTTTGTCTGCTTTCACATGTCCCCTTAATTGAGGGAAAATTCTAAGTAAACCTGGTGGTCATTACTGATGTCATCCTTGCGGCTATCTGCTTGTATAAGGATCATAGCATATCACAATTATACTATATCACTATGCTAATTCCTATTCCTAATGAATACTTTATTAACCCAAAAAGAACACAAAAACAAAAATCTACATTTCATAATTTGGTGCCTTGGTAAAGATTACACTTTAATGTGTGCAGGCCTTTGGGATGTCAAGAGCTCTTTTTGATCTTGCATGCTTAACAGGATCTTCATTCTTCCCTTCCTGAAGACCATTGTTTGATGTGAAATTTTGTCATACTCTGTCTCCCACACATCATTAGGTGAAGCAAAAATAGCAACATAGCTACAAAACTCTAATAATTTTGATGGACTCTATTAAGAGCAGCTAAACTTGAAGGAGGATTGGAGGCATGCAACATTTCAAATATTTGTGGAAAATTGTGTACGTGGTTGTAGAAATAAATAAGCATAGAAATAATTGTTACAATTTCTAAGCAATAAGCTAAATAAAACCAAGATATGGCTTACACATATGCTAACTTTCTGTGTGTATTAGTACAGGATCCCCAGGCCCCTGGTCACAGCCAGGCTCTGGTGGGTGGCCTGGTAGGAACTGGGTGGCACGGAAGGAGAATGAGGGGTGTGCCAGTGAGAGAAGCTTCATCCGTATGCACAGCTGCTCCGCATCGTTCCCTTTAGCATCCAGGGAGCTCCACCTCCTGTGAGATCAGCACCAGCACCGCATTCTGATAGAAGTGCGATCTCCAAGTGCGTGAACTAACACGAGAGGGATCTGGATTGAACACTCCTCATGAGAGTCTATCGTAATAGTGGAAATAAAGCACACAATATGCAAACTGCTCTTCCCTCATCCTGGAACACCATTCCCTGCCTCGCCATTGATGGAAAAATCGTTTTCTACAAAACATTTCCTGGTTGTCACAAAGGTCGGGACGGCTATGCATTGGTTCTCAATTTCGGGTGACAATCGGAATTAACCGTGCTGCTATTAAAACATTCATTTTCCCTGTCTTTAGCCAGAACTGCTTGCTCTCTTGCCTACACCTGCAACTCCATCCAACTACTCGAGGTCAGTCTGAGCTTGAATGCGAAGAAGGATGGTGCTTTGCTCAACCTCCGGAGCATCACCTCCAGGCTGACTCAGGCGCTCGTCCTGACTCTGGAAACTGGTTTATCCTCGCCCTACATGCCAGACTCTGCTGTGTGAAAGTACCGAGACTTTAGTCATTGCAGATCATGTTTCTCAGTGCGGTACAGTCAGCCAAAGAGTCCATGAAAAATGCAGATAGCGAAGTTTGCATCTCAACTGAATGAGAATTTCTGGGAGT